CTTATTCTACAAGTTCTACCAATTTATTTAAACTTTAACTGAAAGCGGAGCAGTTGGAATATCCCTAAATTATTTTCAGATAGAAGATATATAGAAATGTCATTTGCTTTTGCTTTCCGTTCCACAGCAACTCTGAAAACTATTTTCAAAAATATGAAATGTTGGAGGGTTCTGTCCATGGATTAATAATCGATGTGTTTTCATTTTTTTCTTCTTTTTTCTAAAGAGAGAAAAAACCATTTCTAGGGAATGAAACAGATCTTTTAAAAAATGGCATTAATTAGTATTATTAACTCTTCTATTAAATTTGTAATATAGTATTCTCAGCTTCAAGCATTTCATAAAGAAAATAATAATGTATAAGAAAACTTACCCAACAACACAAATTTCCCACGTTATTTTTCTCAATCGGTTAACATTTAAAAGGCTTAAGTTAAACATCTGTTTACTAAAAAACTAGACCAAAAAGATATTTCTCCGTATTAGCACAAAAGTTGCCATGGTTACTGAAGAAATCAACAATACTGTTAGTTTACCAATATATGTTTCGATTTCTTGGACGGACTATTAAGCAAATGATTTGAATACAAGGGCAAAGTAATCATCAGCGATAAGCTGTATATCATTTCAAATCAAAAATTGATTCGTTTCAGCGTTTTGATAAAGTTTTGTTGCGGTTTATACTTAAATGCAACTTAAGGAAGTTTCGGAATTGGTTTTAAATTAAGTGTTACTAAATTTTAAAATAAGCTATAAACCGAGATAAGCCGTTGTTTAAAAAAATCGATCCGTGATCAAAAATGGTGAACAAGCTATGAGCATGAATTTTTTTTTTAGTTTTTCTTTTTATTATTTCTATATTTTTTGCATATTGTAGTTTAATTTTAAATTTTATTTCTGTTTATCATAAATTTTAGGATTTGTTAAACTTCTTCTAATAAACATTTAAAACATTTAAATGACACCTTTGTATTAATTGTTCAAATAACAGGTAAAACCAGGTAAAATTGTTTAATAGTTTTCTATACGTGAAAATGAATATTAAATGTCATTTTCCTTATTTACAAAACACAATATTAAATTTTTTTGTTCTAAATGTTTGATTTTTCTTGCAAATGATTTTTTTTTCAAATCTTATAATTTTGGGCTCTAGAAAATTCAACATTTTAGTGTCTTGGTTTCCGGATCATTTTAAACAACAACATTTCAGTGTCTCATTTCAGTTTCAACATTTTAGTGTCTTGGTATANTTGCTGTGTGGCATGGAGCTTAATTCTTGCTGAAAAATAAATGGTGCGTTGTTGGGGAAGAGATCCCTGATGGAACGTATCAATTTTGGTTTCAGGACAGCTTTATGAGCTGTACTTATTTTTTGTTTTGCAGTTTTATACTACTGAGTTATATATATATGTATATATATATATTGTATGATTAACGACCAAAAAAATATCAATTTAACCCTTTCCGGTGTAGCGTAGGCAGTCTTGCAACATTAATTCAACAAATACCTGTCAACTTTTACGCATTTGGCGTAAAATCTTATTTCTATTTTTAAAGTGTTTGTAAAATATTTGCTTTCTATATGTCCCTGATATTTATAAACTTAATTTATAATCTTTTTGACCACCACTATTTTTAAAAAAATTAAGCATATAAATAAATATGCAATTCATACCCTCCAATTGCTACGGAATTTCCGTAGATTCAGAAATCTTCTTTTCAGACGGTAGCAAATTAATGTCTTAATATTTAAAAAAAATTAATTTTAGCGTAACTTGTCCACTATTACTTATAAAAGTGCAGGCCATATGGCTAGATTCTTAAGTTCTGATAAAAGTTTTATGAGAGATCCATTTGCTTTAAAAATTTCCACTTTGGTTCGCTACCACTAGAAAGAATTATTTTCAAAATCCTCATCAGTTGGAGGGTATGCAATACTGTAGTGGTGATTCGCTAAAGCCCTCTCAAAATACAACGCAGAGATGCCAACTTGCTCCGGACAACAAATAAATATTTTAAAGTAGTAGTTTATCAACTGCTCCGGTCAGGCGAAAATAATTAAAAAAAACGGTAAATAACCACAAAGTAAATTTTTCAAATATTTGACTATATTTGCTTGATTTTTAACGGGTACAGCATGACATAAGTATTATAAAGTGGTGAGTTATGTAATCCTACTAATTATTTAAAAATAGTGGTGGATAAGAATCCACTAAATTGAATTTATTAAATCAAGAATCACAGTTGATAAACTACCACTTTAAAATATATATTTGCTGTCCGGAGCAAGTTGGCATCTCTGTACCTACCAACACTTCCGATTTTTCCGGAAGATTTTAATTTTGTATTTAAAGTGGTATCGAAACTCGTGTCATGTCATCAAAATTTTTGAATTATAATAATAATTATAAACGAGTTTGACCACCACTACGTTTAAATAATTGCAACAAATATATAAAATCATACTAATCTTAACGATAGCGAATTTTAGCCTAGTCAAAATATAAATATATTTTTGAGTAAGGTTGTTTTTCGGTAATTTTTTTACTACCGCTTGGAAAATTCATTCTTAGAAAGAGTGAAAGTTGGCAGGTATGTTCTTGGTTTAATAAATTCAATTTAGTAGATCTTTATATACCACTATTTCTAAATAACTCGTAAGCTTATATAATTCTCCATTTTATAGTACAATGTTATGCTGTACCTCTTCAAAATCAAGCAAAAATAGTCAAATATTTGCATAATTTACTTTGTAGTTATTTACCGTTTTTTTGATTATTTTGGCGTGTCCGGAGCAGTTGGCATCTCTGACAATGCATACTTCTGACTAAAATTGTCATTTAAATTCCATTTTACTACCACTGGGGGAAATGATCCTCGAAGGGATTAAAAGTTGGCAGGTATGCAAATGTTACAAACCACTTCAATTGTAAAACTAATTGCGTTTAAACATTTAGCAACCTTTATTCTACATACTACAAAGAGCTAAAGTATGTCACTTCAATCAGAAAGCATTGTCTAAGATAGAACTTGATAATATGCTGCCAGATTGAAGTTTTCAATCGAAATTCGCTGTTTCGGAAAGGGCAAAGGAAAATGCAAATTAGGAACTTTAGAAATGTCTTTGCAATGTTGAAGTCGAATTTAAACAGTCTTAGTGGCCTAAGAAAATTAAACTATCTCGTTTTATTTTATTTCTGAAGTTTGTTTTATTTCACAACCTGTCGTAAATGTTAAATTTTCTTTAACTATGAAATTATGTAAACGAAACAAGCAAAACGAAATTATCGAAAATCGAAATAGCGAACAAATAAACGAAATCGTTAACGCTAGATGATATTTCATTACTTTAAATAATACTAGTTCAAATATTACTACTTTTATTTCATGAAAGACTTTTTACACGATGACAAATTTTTGATTCTGCGATATATTCCAAATTTTCCTTTTGACTTAATTAGACAGCAACCAATTAAACCAATTTGAAAGGAAAAGAAAAAGACTAGCAACTCAGTTCCTTCATTTTTTGAAATTTGTCTTGGTTAAAAAATACAATTAGTAATTGTCAATATATATCAAGATTATAAACTTTACATTCTGATGTGAAATTATAATCACATTGAAATAACATTTTAATTGTATTCTTTTTTTCAAACAATCCTTTTTTTTTCTCACAAATAAATTCAATCAGAAATGCACCGCAAATAAGCGATACCATTACGTATATGCTACCTTCCCCTATTTTTAACCCCTTGAGGACGGTTGATTCAGAAAAGCATTCGTACAAAATCAGAATCAAGTTGTAATTAAGTAAAAAACGGTAACTTAAATGTAGTCGTTGCTAATTTGAAAGACTTACTTTGCTTTTACTTCAATTATTGTCAGTTTAATCATATATATATATATATAATCAATGTTAATTCAAAATATAACTAGTTTTGTTTTGAACAAAGTAATGTTGAATTAAATAAATCAAACAATTATAGCCCCGCCCACAAATAAACTGCTAAAGAATTACTTTAATTACCAGTTTTATCTTTTTGCCTGATTGATACGGTTTTATGCTGTCACGTATTTGTTAGGGTTAAAGTTAAGGTGGTAACCAAAATCANACAATTATAACCCCGCCCACAAATAAACTGCTAAAGAATTACTTTAATTACCAGTTTTATCTTTTTACCTGATTGTTACGGTTTTATGCTGTCACGTATTTGTTAGGGTTAAAGTTAAGGTGGTAACCAAAATCATTTTTAATAAAATTTGTTAAAGCAAGAACTACATTAAATATAAAAATAAAATCTTCAGCATAACTAAACAGTTAACAAGTCACAATACGTAAGCAATATTAAAAATGCATAATAACTAATAAGTCCGTTCTCCTTGCCGTTTCGTGGTTTTCTTCTCCATGTAAAGCAAATGCGGGTTAGTTCCATCAGAAAGTCCTCGATAAAAGCAAATTTCTCTCAATGTTTTTCCATTGTCCTCTGAATTAGGTTCAAAACTACAAGGCTACGGAGTTGAACATTGGTAGTTGCTAACTCAAAATTGGGTCAGCTGTTCAACGATGGTTATAAAATAAAATAAAATAAAAATTTTACTTGGATTAATTGTTATAAAACATTAGCACTTTAAATATGTTCAAGAGATTGAACTTCCGGGTTTTATTTAAAACCATTATATCGACTGGGAGAAAACTGAAAATCATATACTTCAGCAACTAAATTTGCCATAAATTCAATTGACCATATTTCAAATAATTTATAGCTTTTCAATCTCATTTTAAACTTTTTATAGGTTTAAAATCACTTTTTAAATAACCTATATTTTTTTTCAGAAATCACTTTTCAAACTAAATACTTCCACAAAAAAAATTACCTTTTATGTGATAAATTTAAAACTTATTCACGACTTTTGACCACAGACAATCGTTGTTATCAAGACAAACAATTCGCCGTAAATTTTCAAATCTCCTATCATTCGCGTAAACCTTCATCTGGCCTTATGCCTCACGATTTTATTACGGTACGACCTTCATTATATTGTATCTTACATTTTTTGCAGTAACTCTCTTTACAAGTTGAGCTTATTCAACAGAAGCATTTTAGTATGAATTTGATCGTATTCGAAATAGGTTTTACTAAGTATTAACCATATGAATATACAGGTAAGTGCTAGATATATGTGAATTTGTTTTTCAATTTGCTTTAATTTAATTTTTTTATATTATTATTTCTTTTTAATTTCTAAATACCGCTACTTTATTTCTTTGTGTGTAATATGCATCATATGTATAGACAGGCGACTAAAAGGGTAAAAAGTGGTAGAAACACTATTCAGTTTTGTTTGTTTATTATCCCTTTAATAATTTAATCGTAACTGCTACTATGACTTACATTTCAAGTTATTCATATTCAAAGCAAATTCTTCTCATATGTGATGGTTATCTTAGCATCAGGTCTGATCGGACTACCTACAAAAAACCGTGTGGAGGCTTTCAGTTATAGGAGGCGTTGGATGAGCTGGCACGTATACAGAGATGTCAACTGCTCCGGAAATGCCAAAATAATTTAAAAAACTGTAAATAACTACAAACTAAAATTTACAGATATTTGGATAATTAGCTCACTTTTTAAAAGCTTCAACATGCCGTAACTATCTTCTTCTTCAGTTATGTTAACTGGGCCGCGCTGCGTCCCCCTACCCCAGAGATGCCAACTGCTCCGGACACGCCAAAATAATTAAAAAAACGGTAAATAATTACAAAGTAAATTTTGCAAATATTTGACTATTTTGCTTGCCTTTTAAAAGGTTTAGCATGACGTAAGTACTTTAAAGTGGTGAATTATATAAGCCTACGAATTGTTTAGAAATAGTGGTGAATAAAAATTTTCTAAATTAAATTTATTAAACCAAGAATCACAATTGATAAACTATCACTTTAAAATACATATTTACTGTCCGGAGCAAGTTGGCATCTCTGCTACCCTTCCATTGTGAATTATTTAGCATTGTATGGTAACTATAAGGGGGATTCAAGCACCTTGCTTGAATAAAAATGCACAACTATAATAAAGTGGCGAATTATAAAAACCTTAGAATTATTTAGAAATAGTGGTGGATAAAAACCTAATAAATCGAATTTATTAAACTAAAAATCACACATTGAAGGACTATAATTCGAAAATATTTATCCATTGTCCGGAGCAAGATGGCATCGCTGCGTATAAAGCGTTACATATGATTCTTAGTTAGCAATTTCAATTTTTAGGCCTTAAACCCACCCCTATTTCTTAGTAATTCAAAGGTTTGTGTAAAACTTTACTTTGACAGAGCAGAGATGCCAGCTGCTCCGGACGTGCCTTAATAATTAAAAAAACGGTAAATAACTACAAACTGAAATTTGCAAGTATTTGACTAATTTCATTTGCATTTTAAACGGTGTAGCATGACTTACATGTAACAAAGTGGCGAATTATATAAGCTTTCAAATTATTTAGAAATAGTTGTGGATAAAAACCTAATAAATTGAATTTATTAAACCAAGAATTACACATTAATAAACTACCACTCGAAAATACTATTTATTCTCTGTCTGGAGCAAGTTGGCATCGCTGGACAGAGTCACGCCAACCTGCAAATGTGAGATATGCCAACTAATGTATGTAATTCCAATAAAGCACAGTTATGCCAATGGGCCGAGTGCGGGTGGGTGACCACTTGGATAAGTCTACGTATGGACCGAGGGTGTGCGGTATTGGTCCTCGTTAAACTGTCCTACTGTAAAGTCCTCGACTTCGCGTGCAGGTCGTCGGGCTACCGAAGTTGAGTGCCATTCCCTCTGCAGATGATCAAAATTGTGATGGAATGTCTTCGGTTCATCCTCAACGATGTTTCCCAGACCATCGCCAATAGCCCATAGTGCAGCTCTAGTGCGACGTAAATGAACTACTACAATCCCTGGCCGATCTGTTTCCTCCGTCTAGCGCTGTGCAAAGCGTGGAGGTAACTGGCTCAAATCCCGCTGCTACCCTGAATGTACTTTTGTGCTGTCCTTTTATTGGTCAAAGGTTTAAAAACCTAAATTGAGCACACAAGCCTGCAAATGTATGTAATTCAAATAAACCACAGTTATACCGCGTTATTATTGATTTCTCGAGTTAGGTTGAAAATTTTTTTGAATTTTTTGAAGTTTCAAAGCGTCAAAACGTTATAATATTGTTACTGCTAAGAAAATTCTTTCGCAACGGCCATACAAGTTAGCTGATATGTAAGTATATTTCTTTCAATTTACTATTGCCCAGCAGTGGACTGATTGTAAAGACACGGTTCCCAGTAGAACACCAAAGTCAAGCATCACTAGCTGTGGTCAATAAGCGGGTGGGTGACCACCTTGATCAGCCTTCGTTGGGACCGAGAGTGCACGGCATCGGTTCTCGTGAAACTGTTCAACCGTAAAGTTTTCGACTTCGCGTGCAGGTCGTCGGCCTACCAACGCGGGGGAGCCTCCACACGGTATTTAATAAGTAGTCAGCGCAAACTATTTAAAAGTGAACCAGTTGTGGGCATGAAATCAAATTCTATTTTGAAAGTAATACAGAAAAAGTTAGCATATAGATTTGAGGATTGAATCCTTGGTGGTAGACAAGTAAATAACGCAAACCAATCATATTCATAAATTTCAAAAAAAAAAAATTTAAACGTATATTTGCCATTATATTTTGTATATTTAGTCAACTATGGCATCTCCGTTACTGTCGATAAATGTCTATAAGACAACAATCTTATTTCTGTGATCATAATGAGATTTATTGCTAACACTGCCATCACCTCCTATATCAGAAAGCCTCCACACGGTTTTTTATAAATAGTCTGAGCAGACTACTTAAAGAGTGAACCAGTGGTGCGTATGAAACCAAATCATCTCAATTTAAAAGGAACGAAAATGCCTGAGAGAAATTTATCATATATATTTGAGAATTGAATCTGTAGTGGTAGACAAGTAAATAACGCAAACCAATCATATTCATAAATTTGAAGAAAAAAAAATTTAGACGTATACATACCTGCCAACTTTTAAATCCTTCCATTACTATTTTTCCCAGTGGTATTAAAATGGAATTAAAACTTCAATTTTAAGCAAACAAATACGTTGTATTTGAGAAAACTTAAGTTGACAGTAACGCATATTTATATATGTGCTTAATTTTTGTAAGAATAGTGGTGATCAATATCATTTTAAAATTAAGATTAAAGAAAAAAATAGTATATAATTACTACCACTTTAAATATGAAAATAAAATCTTTCGGGAAAATCCGGAAGAGTTGGCAGGTATGAGTATCATACCTGCCAACTTTTACTCCCTTCCATTATCATTTTTCCCAGTGGTATTAAAATGGAATTAAAACTTCAATTTTAAGCAAACAAATACGTTACATTTGAAAAAACTTAAGTTGACAACCATGAGAGTACCGCATGTTAATATATGTGTTTAATTTTTGAAAGAATAGTGGTGATCAAAATCATTTAAAAATTAAGTTTATAAAAGAAAAAATAGTATATATTTACTACCACTTTAAATATGAAAATAAAATCTTCCGGAAAATCCGGAAGAGTTGGCAGGTATGGCGTATATTTGCTACACTTTCTTATTTATACTAGATATTCTATTAAATGGCTCTTTCGTAAGCTAGTTTACTTTCATGGTTGTCTGATCAGACTACCTATAGGAAACCGTGAGGAGACTTTCAGTCATAGGAGGCGTTGCATGAGCCCTATTCTGTGTATTTAATTTAAGAGTAATTTTTGTTATCATCTACATCTTATACAATCTGCACACTTCGTGGCACGTTGTATCGTTTAGTGGCTTCACTTCAGTGAAACAGGCTGTCGTAATGAAAGTGTTAATTAACTATGAAATCATACTACTTCTAATAAACCAATATATTGTGTTACAGGTGCATGGCTAATTGCGGTGATTTAATATTAATTGCCCTGTGCTGCCAAATTTTTGGAATAACCATTCCTTATTTAATAGCCCTTTATCAGAATACATTTAGCCCACCTCTTCCATTCATTAGGTAAGTGAAAAAAGTTTTATTGTTTCTTTGAATGTTTGCTGAATTAAAAATGGAAATAACAATGTATTGAACGTGTATGTGTTGCATGCTCAAAGAATGTTCTGTTGGTTTCAGATTGTTTCACCTAATCATTCAAAACTATAAAACAATTTGAATAAATAAACCAAAATTAATTTAATGCAAATTTATACTAATGAAAGATTTTATGTCAAAAATTATTTACATTAAAATATTTATTAAAAAGAAGAAAGAAAAAATGCATGACAGGACAAGCAAATTCAAAAACTTGAAAAAAGCAATCTAGATGCTTGTATGGAAAAGCAAATTCCTAGACTTAAAAAAATCTGCATGCTTTTTATGACGGAATGAAAAATATTTTTATTGATCATCTGTTTATTTGTTTTAATATCATTTATTTTATGTCAAAAGTATTTACGCGCCGAAAACAAAGCCTAACATCATATAGAACTTTGTGGCATAAAGCAAATAGGATCAACCGAGCTTATCCGAAGATTTTCGGATATGCTTAGTTTACCCTCAGAGCATTTTCACAGTTAGATTCACTTAAGAATAGCATACCTGCCAACTTTTAATCCTTTCCATTATAATTTTTGCCTGTGGTATTAAAAATGGAATTAAAACTTCAATTTTAAGCAAACAAATACGTTGTATTTGAGAAAAGTTAAGTTGACAACCATGATAGTAACGCATATTGATATAAGTGCTGAATTTTTGTAAGAATAGTGGTGATCAAAATCATTTAAAAATTAAATTTATAAAAGAAAAAAATAGTATATACTTACTACCACTTTAAATATGAAAATAAAATCTTCCGGAAAATCCAGAAGAGTTGGCAGGTATGGAATAGGATCTTTTTCAAAAATCCAGAAAGTGGTAGCAAGATCGTTTCATTATCAGGGTTTTTGTGCCCCTAAAAAAAGCTGATAGTAAAACCATTTCATATTTAACTTGCTTTCGATCGAAACTGTCTCTACTAAAACTGATTAAAATTTATATCCTCTATACAAGACTCCTTGTTTTGTTGGGAAGATGCACTTCCAGGGCTGCAAAAAAAATATAATACATGCTTAACAGGACAAGCAAATTCAAAGACTTATCAGAATTTGTTTGCTTTTTATGACAGAATTACTTACTTTGCTTACTTTATTTATAAAAAATTGGGCACCTGGGCCTCGCAGCGGCCCCTATCCCATACATCTAGAAATTTACATAAGTTTAAAGTGATAACATTTTGAATTTAGCAGTAGATGTGGTTGCTAATACAAAATTACAAGCACTTTGCTTGGGTAAATAAACATTTGAATATCGAAACTAAATTTACACATATAAATATAAGCATATAAATATAAACATAATTTGAAATATATATATATAGGTTGACATAGATAAACATAGTAGATATAACATTTGACTATAGAATCTAAATTGACACATATTGACATATATAAATATAAACATAATTTGAAATATATATACATAGGTTGACATAAATTAATATAGTAAATATAACATTTGAATATCGAATCTAAATTGACATCTGTTGACATATATAAATATAAGCGAAATATTGTTCATTAAATACAATAGAATTTGCAAAAGAATTTAACGTGCATAAGTTGATAAATACATATGCATTAATTGGCTATATTTTCAGAAAATAAAATTTGATGTAATTTAATTTAACATAAGTAAAAGTCTACTGTGAAAAGTTCAGTGAATTTAACTTGAGAGTNTCGGTCCCAGAATGCTGCCCTGTGGTACTCCGGCTGTGATGTTTCTCTTTGTGGATTTTTTGTTTTTGATGGTGATTTGAAATGTTCTATTAGAAAGATAGCAGGATAGGAGTTTGATTATGCCGGGTGGAAAATTCAGCTGTATGAGTTTATATATTGTACCAGTGTGCCATACTTTATCAAATGCTTTGGATATGTCAATCATCAGGAAGGCTATTGTTTCTTTATTTATGATTGCTCTGCCAGTATAGTCTATTATTCGGAGTAACTGTTTGGTGGTATCTAGTTTTTGTCGGAATCCATACTGTTCGTCGGGGAGGGCTGTAAGAAGTGGTTTTATTCTATTGTAGATGATTTTTTCGTATATTTTTCCAAGTATGTTAAGTAGACTGATTGGGCGATAACTCTCAGGGCAGCTTGGGTTCTTATTTTTCTTGAGAAATAGAATGACTGATGCGTTTTTCCAGATTTGTGGGTACTGACAGAATTAAAAATATTTTTTAATCATTTGCTTATTTCTTCAGTGGTGTTAAAGTGGTAGTTTATTAATTGAGATTTTTGGTTTAATAAATTCAATTTAGTAGATTTTTATCCACCACTATTTCTAAATAATTCGTAGGATTATATAATTCCCCACTTTATATTGCAAAATTTATGTAGCAGTTATTTACCGTTTTTTAAATTATTTTGGCGTCTCCGGAGCAATTGGCATCGCTGCACTTAGAAAGCAATGTAATTATATACTATAAGAAAAAATATGAGATATATGTATATGAAATAATCTAGTATTTCATTTTTCAATACTCGAACTAAGCAACAGAAACCTTCAAAATCTGGCACTCTGGCATCAACTGACATTCTGCGTTTGTTCTTTCTATTATTACTTATCGGCAACAGTTGTTTATCGCTTGTTTCATTTAAGATAACGATATCGGATAACGGATCGAAGTACATTCCTATTTATTATTGACGTGATGTTTGCATGTTTACTCGAAATTTTGTCTAAATTATGATTGCGTCAAATTGACGAGTATCCGTAGAGATAGGTATACCACATAGAGAATTTCAACGCTTTTGAAGAAAATAGATTTCAATATATATTTACCTCGATCAATGGATAAAAGTCATTACAAGAGATAAAAGAAAAATTCAAACGGAATTTGTAATTTTCCCTACAAAACTCGAAATGCGTCAAAATGACGCCTCCCGTAAGCCTAGTGTTAAAGTCAAAAATATTTAAGCACCGAAAACAAAGCCTAGCATGATATAGAACTTTGTGGCATAAAAAATGAGGATCAACAGGGCTTATCCGAAGATTTTCGGATAAGCTTAGTTAACCCTCAAAACATTTTGACAGTTCGATTCACTTAAGAATAGGATCTTTTCTCAGAAATGTAAAAATTGGTAACAAGATCGTTTCATCATCAGGATTTTTGTGACCCTAAAAAAAGCTGATAACAAAACCATTTCATATTTAGTTTGCTTTCGACGGGAACTTTTTCTACTAAGACAGATTAAAATTTATATCCTTTATGCAAAACTCTTTCCTTTTTTGAAAAGAGGCACTCACTTCCAGAGCTGCCAAAAAAAATTCTACATGTTTGACAGGACAAGAAAATTCCAATTTTAAAAGATTTGCATTCTTTTTATGGCAGATTATAGAAAATTTTTAAATCATTCGTTTATTTATTTCAATATTATGTATTTTAAGTCAAAAATAATTATGCACCGAAAACAAGGTATAACATCATGCATCATGTAGAATTTTGCGGCATAAAGCAAAGAGGATCAACAGAGCTTATTCGAAGATTTTCGGATATGCTTAGTGAACCCTCAAATTTTTTCACAGTTGTATTCACTTAAGAATAGGATATTTCTTTCAAAAATGTAAAATGTAATAGCAGAGATCATTTCAGATCAGGGTTTTTCCCCTAAAAATAAAAATAATAAAAACTTATAGCAAAACCATTTCCTGTTTAGCTTGTTTTCGAGAGGAATTAAGATCTTTTTCTTCTAAGACTGATTGAAATTTATATCCTATATATCTTTCCATGTTTGGAAAGAGGCACTTCTAGAGCTGCAAAAAATTCTACATGCTTAACAGGGCAAGCCAATTACAAGCCTTATAAAATTTGCATGGAGTTTATGGCGGAATAAAAAAAATTTAATCATTTGTTTGAATATCATTTAAAGTCAAAAAGGCTTATGCACCGAAAACAAAGTCTAAACATCATGTAGAACTTTACAACATAAGAAAAGGAGAATAAACAAAACTTTTACGACGATTTTCGGATATGCTTAATTAACCCTCACTCCTTTTACTCAGTAGATTTACTTAAGAGTAGGTTCTTTTCTCAAACATGTAAAAAGTGTGATAGTGACATCATTCCATTGTCGGTTTTTTTTTGTCCCTTAACCCGTTTTGTCCCGAATTTATATTTTGAAATGATACAAAAAGTGGTTTTATGGAAAAAGTTGTAAAATATATTATCGAAATTAATTGGTTTTTCTGCAGTTAGAGCATTCAAAAAGTCTTTGATAGATCAAAAAGTGTTTGCTCCTAATAATTCTAGATCTAAACAGAAATAACTGAATCATTGTGGTATCTGAGAATCTCTTAATTCCCCCAGATAAATGAAAACACTGAAAAAAGTTTCCCACCACAATGAATGTCTTTGAAAAAAGGAACTGTCCTAAATATAAGACGCTGGGCGTTAACCGTTTAACCCTTTGACGGTCAGGGAAATGAGCAGTTTTCGTTTCATTAATTCGAGCAGTATTACGTGCAAACAGTAGTCGAAAGTGGCATNCATCATGTAGAACTTTACAACATAAGAAAAGGAGAATAAACAAAACTTTTACGACGATTTTCGGATATGCTTAATTAACCCTCACTCCTTTTACTCAGTTGATTTACTTAAGAATAGGTTCTTTTCTTAAACATGTAAAAAGTGTGAAAACCCATTGTCGGTTTTTTTTTGTCCCTTAACCCGTTTTGTCCCGAATTTATATTTCGAAATGATACAAAAAGTGGTTTGATGGAAAAAGTGGTAAAATATATTATCGAAATTAATTGGTTTTTCTGCAGTTAGAGCATTCAAAAAGTCTTTGATAGATCAAAAAGTATTTGCTCCTAATAATTCTAGATCTAATCAGAAATAACTGAATCATTGTGTTATCTGAGAATCTCTTAATTCCCCCAGATAAATGAAAACACTGAAAAAAGATTCCCACCACAATGAATGT